CTGCTGAACAGCAAGTTGAACATGAGTCACTAGTGTGCCTGTGTGATGGAGTAACCGAACATCATACTGGGCCATAATAGCAAAATTGTGGTCATCAGGTTGATGAAGTGACACTTCCCCTCTGATCCACTCTGATGAGACTGTATCTGTAGAGTGCTGTGTCCAGTTTGGGGCTCCACAGGGCCAGGAGAACACTGACAGACTGTAGGAAGTCCAACAGAGGCAACGGGGACAGTCAGGGGGCTGGACCATATGACCTACTGGGAGAGGCTGAGAAAGCTGTCTGCATTCAGCCTTAAGAAGAGACTATTCAGCACAGATCTTCCTGCTTACTTCAGGTACCTGAGGAGAAGGTGTAGAGAAGAGGGAATGAGATTGTTCTTGGAAGTCATCAGCAACAGAGGAAGAGACAATGGGAAAAAAGTTACAGTTCACGAAATTCTGATTAGCTATACAGAACAGCTATACACAGTTTCACTCTGAGGGTGTTCAAACACTGGAACCAGAGAAGTTGCCCAGAGAGGTTGGTTCACTATCAGTGGAGACACTCAAAACCTAACTGGACAAGTGCCTTAAACCTGATCTTGTTGGCCCTGCTTTGAATGAAGGATTGGACTACATGACCGCCAGACTTCACCTTTCAACCTAGATTATTTTGTAATTCAGGAGTTATTGGGAGGGGGGAAGAAGGAATGGACTAACAGTTCTATTAAATTTTATAGTGGTATTTACACTTGGAAAACTAACATCTTGTAGCATGTCATGAGAACTGCATCTGTGAAACAAGCGGAATCCTGTGGACCACTATAAGAAATGATAACAATGCAAGTCTGTCAAACTTTGGGCAGTAAGATGGAAGCTGTAGACTGTGACTTATTCTACAGATTTCATTCTACATGATCCTGAAATGCATGCTATGCATAGTGCTGTCAACTGATGAGTTCTTGAATTGCCATTTCACTGTATACGGCACTCCAAAAATATTGCAACTTTTAGTCCCAGTGTTCTGTAATAATGCGGAATCACGAAACATCTGTCCAGAAGTTACTAGCCTCTGATGCCTGGCTTGTCTTTGCTTCATTCCACAGGGACAACTTCAGGACCTAGGAAGGATGCAGCCACGTCACCTGTGCTGACAGGCAGCAGTAAAGAGCTTGCAACCACAGCCACATCACCAGTCCAGCATGACACTTCACGGTAAGCTGCTAGGTAATCTCTGGTTTAAGATTCTGCAAACACAACCATCAGATTCTCCTAGATGCAGGGAACTGGCTGAATTTCTATATTTCATGTTAGCACAAGCTGGATAATATAAACTAAAAACTGCCATATCCTTTTGACATTTATAGTAAGCCTTAAATTGCTTGTTAGAATAAGAAAAGCAGGAATATGCCAAGTTCTAACATTTTAATTTTAGTTAGATTTTGAACAGAAAGTATTTTATGTTCCAAGTCCTGACACATTAGATACATTTGTAAATAATTTGAATGGATGGTGTTAACCCTTGTTAGGTTTTAAATCCAGTTGAAGATTTTAATCCCCCTGTATTCGCTTCCCCCCCCCCTCCCCATTTTATCAAATGGTGTTTCTTTTAAAATGTTTTGTGCCAGAGTTATTTTATGTTTAATGAGAAGCAACAAAATCACATTAAGTCAGCAATTCCTGATTATACTATATATCTGCACTAAATGCACTGGAAAAGCAGCATTATCACTTCTGCTCCAATGCCGAAACAGAAAGCAGCATTGTTGTTAGACTTAGGAGTCTAAAAACAACTTGCCTTCTTTAGGCAGAATTACAATTCTAGCTGTAAGTGCCTAGCAAAATAGCATACAATCCTTGCTTTTCTTTATCATATCCCACATTTTCTCATAATAAAATCTTTAGTTAAGCAACAAAGTAAGTGCAGATTAAAGTATGAAGTTGCTGTGTTTTACACCACTAGTTAGATGACTTTGTGCAGTGGGATGACAAGAATGTATGACTGTTCATAAGACGAGTTAAATGTTTTTTGGAGAACGAGAGGGCTTGAGTCAGATTTAATCTTCTCCTGGCCCAGTGGACTAGGAAAATGTATGCTTGATATCATCCCTGTATTCTTGGCAGCAGCTGGCAGTTTATTTCTATCTTCTGAGAGAACTTGCGATATATAATAGGTGAAAAACCACTATCAATATTGACAAATTTGTACTTACTTGCTATGGAAACACTTTTTGTTTTCTTCTGAAGGAAGGGATGATAATTCTGGGAGGATTTAAGAACTGAGATAGATTGGGCTCTGTTTCCCACAAGTAACTATGTTTAAACAAACAGAAACCACAAGATTGCCTAAGCATTTCTCTTGGAAGCACAGGTTACCTTTGCAAGATGGTAATATCAGATAAAGAGTGTGTAAAGATACTGCTTGATACCGTCTAATGGTGATAAGTTGACATTCCATTCAAGCACTGAGGAGTAGATATAATTATTCACACCATACAACAACTGCTCAGAAAAAGGAATTTTATTCAAGAGGATTGATGGTCCATTCTTCTCCACAGAGGGGAGTAAAATATTTGTTGAAATATGCTGTTAGAAATCATATCAGATAAAGTGATCAGTAAAAGGAGTCTGATTAGCTGTCATCCTTAAAGGTTTATTTTACCAGTTGATGACAAATTTTGAAAAATCCTGTTTTTCTGGGATGCTCTCTCCCACACTTCCTCACTTTCTTTCTTTCCGTTGGTGCTGTAAGTATAATTGACCAGTTTAAGCAGCCATGTTGTGCTTTCCCTTACTCATGGCCTTCTCTAATTGAAAATGGTAAATGGACAAGTATTTCTGTGGAGACCTAGAGCTGATCCTATCCTTCATCAAAAAACCTGCATGGGCAGCAGGTCAGTCTCAATTTATCACTGAATGGTTATAAGCTTAGACTGCAGGTTTAACTAACGAAATTAATCAATATTGCGAATTATTGTTGCTTTTGTGCCACTAAAGTTAGGGTTTGTCAGCATGTTCATTATAATCTGTGATGTGGGGGGAGTTAACAGCTTAACCACAACAGTTGGCATGGGTCTGAAACTTGCAGCACAAAACCCTAGCCTAAGAGCAAATTTATTTATTCGGCAGTACATGTAAACCTAATTACTTTTGACTATTTAAATTTATAGGACTAGATTCAACTCATGTTTGTGCCAGCTTTAACTAGCACAAACCCTGGCACCCGGCAGTAGCAGCAATGGAAAGCCTGCCAGGGAGAAGGTGCTGGAAAGCGACAGAAGCTCCCTGCCAGCGCAAGGCATCAGGGTGCTAGCGCAGCTTCTGGGGAGGGCTGGCTGGATAAGCAGGCATGGCAGGTAGAAGATGCATTGGCTTGATAGCCTGTCTTGGCAGGGCTCAACCAGAGGCTCCAGTGTGTTGCAGCTGCTTCCTGCTTGAGGACGAATCACTGCACTGCTACTTTCTTCTCTCTCTCGGAATGAATCATGTCTGGGACAGGAAATAACTGTCCCTAGAAGGTAAAGGTGTGCGCTTTGAGAGCCTTCATGCTAGACCTGTAGAAGGACCAAACTTGCAGAATGAGTGTGCACAAGGTGGTTTCAGTGATATCTCTGAAAGAAAAATAGGATTTCTTTATCTGGCATCCTAAGTTGGGCTAATAGTGGATTTGTCTGCCCATCATGCTTCTATGCATGCCTGTCTCTGCTTTTCGTAATACAGCCAAGCATTGCATGTTTGGTTACCCAATGTTCTTAAGCCAAGTGTCTACACCTGCATGAGCCCCTTGAAATTATGTTCACAGCAGATCCCGAAAGCTTTTCTGCTCCATGTGCTTATTTATCTAGACCAAAGCCAATATATCTGGAAAAAAAATCACAGGCAATGCTGGGGCTGGGCAGATTTGGAAGAGTAAGTTTGTTCCTTACCCCTAAAGCATAGTTCCTCTGACTACCTTAAACATTACCTTTTTGGTGACCAGGAACATGTTTTTCATAACTGTTGTTTGCCTAGAAGAAAGACTTTGGGTTTTGGCTGTGAGCTGGAAGGGAGCTGGAAATGGGAGGTTGTGGCATTTGTATGCTTTCATTTAGTAATGAAGAAGTTTCTACATAAACTAGATCTTACCCTGGGTATAATCAGGTACTGATTTTCAGCAAAACAAGTGTTGTTTTGCAAAACAGAAACGAAACTGCTCTAAATCAAAGTATTAAGCTATTCTTTTTTTTTTTTTAAAGAAGTGTTGTAAGTTGTGCCTTGTGAAAGACCATTTAATTTGATTACAGCCCTGGTGCAGTTGTCAAGCTCTCCCCACGCAGAAACAGTTGTAGTGTTGAGTTTGGCACAGTAAGTCCTATAACACTGCAGATAATCAAGCACTTAAAAACACACAGGCAAAGGTTGTTCCGCTCACCATGGAAACAGATAATTCTCCTGTAACATTTTTCACTTTGGGCATCTAAGAAGTGACTTTAAGAACAGTTAGGTAAATTAAGGGATTGAGTGATAGTCTGGGATTTCAGCATTAAGCCTATGTTTTCTTCTTGCAGTTTTAAATCAGAGCTTTAATGCTAGCTGAGTTAATTTTCTTGGAGTGAAGTTTCTTGTAGCCATTAAAATAAGTGATTTAGAAGTTCCTGCAGTATGAATACTATATTTGAGCTATATTATTATCTGTTAGACTACCGTGGCCTGTTGGAGTTTTTATAAACAGATTGTATTGTGTAAATTTGTGTTTAGGGACATTTTAAAAAGAAAACTATTTACCCAATTGCCCAGCACATCTCAGGTGAATGTGTATTCAGGGACTTTTAAGCAAATTAATATCTGATGTAAAACATAATGTGCAGAGTTGTACACTTAATAATGCACACTGGAATAGTCTAGAGTAGATCTGTTATGCTGACTTAGGAAGTACAACAGTGGTGAGATTTAAGCTTTTGCCTTACTTATGTGGTAGTTGCTTTTCAGATCTGTGCATGTTGGATGCTTAAATACGGTTCTGCTCTTAGTAAGATACTGTGACGTTCCTTCTACTGTAGAGTCTAAACAAGCAGTGCCAAAGAAATAGATTTTTCTTTTCCCCTCAGGATCTGACACCGTTCAAGATTCAAAAGGAGGACAAGGAGGAGAAAGCTTCCATTCTAGATCTAACTTAGGAACATTTAAAGGGATCAAAAGTGTGTTTGGAATGGGGTGGTGAGTTAGGTGTTGAATGTGGTAGGAGATGCAAGTATTGCCTACTCCCTGAGAAAGCCAGCAGCACAAAAAGTCCAATATAGTTCCATATGCAAGTGATAAAACCAGACGTTGGCAAATTAATCTCTCTTATTCACAGTGTAGGTTGTTAATTGTTCTCTCTGCTGGCTGTCGATATAATGTGAAATTTTCATTCCCCATTCAAGATGGAAAAAGTTGTGGCTGAAAATGTTAACATTTGCATTTTTATTTGTTGATTTATTTAAAGGACAGCCTCTCTTACAGCAATCCATCACTCAGTGACACCCCAAATATGAATAATGTATTGTAGACTTGCGGTTACAATGTGTAATAAGTGCCAGAGACAGTAGAAGAATGTTAACTATGTTGCAAATGTAATATTTATCGACTCATAGTTTATTGCTTTCGAGGTTCAATAATACTGACCATAGGACATTAATATCACTTATCTTGATTTTAGTTGGGCACCTCTGTATGTAGAAATAACCCATCTATCTCATACTTACAAAATAAATGTGAATTTTACAGCGCTTTGTAAGAAGTGCATTATAGGTTTCTTTGCTTAGTGCTCACAATTCTCCTTTTCTGCCTTCTCATTTACTTATATCTGACATTGATCCCACTGCAATTGCCTGACCCAGATGGTGAGCATCTCAGCGCTCTTCGAGAGGCTTTATTTACTGGCTGCATTATGATCTTGTGCCTCTGATGGTGTTTGGACCAGGTCTCTCTTCCTGTTAAAAAACAGTATGAAAAGACACTGTTAGATACTTTTTTAGTGCTTCCATCTGAAAAGATGATGGCTGAGAAGCTCAAACAGAGATAACTTCTCTTTTGGAAAGACATGCATAGCAAATCTAAATCATCTCTCTTTTAAAGGATTGTGGCTATCAGAAATAGAAGTGTTTAATTAGGTTAACAGTTGTTATTACAGACTTGGCATTTATTTTACAGAGAAATTTTTAATCAATGGTTAGAAATACATTAAAGCAATTTTGGAAGATTAGCATTTAAAATTCAGTGGTTTTGAGAACCAAAATTTTCTTGATACTCTACATAAGAAAAAAGAATTGCAATAAGGCTATGCTGTGGTAGGAAATCAACCAGTAGTAATCATTCCTATCTTCAGTACTTGCTCCAGAGTTTTGCTTCAGAAACTGATACAGACTGGGCAAACACTACTCCTTATCTATGCTGGTCGGTTAGGACCACTAACAGCTTTGAAGTCTCAGGAGTGAAATACAGATATGAACCCAGGACTGGGATCAAAACCAAATTTAACAATGGGATATTTCAAGCTTGTGTTGAAATCAGATTTCACCTGTGAAGCCTGGCTCTTGGGAAACTTGGAATTGGGTTCAGCCATGAAAATGATAAGCCTTGATTATATTTCGTGTTGTAGACATCAAGTAAATTTTGAAATGACATTCTGTATTTACATCTGAGGTTATCAAATTTAACACATCATCGGCTTCTTTTTCTTTACTGTGTTTAACAGGAACACCTATTTGAGTCAAAGCAGCCTATCTAATAGCTGCTTTGCGGGAACAGTTTTGGTGTGTCCGTTGCTGACAATGAAAATCATATTGGGGAATTCTGACTTGCAGTGCTAAAGGATTAATGTTAATTAGCAACTGTTGGCTGTAATTGTCACCCTCATTAAAATGCAGAATTATGTATTTCTTAGTTATAAATAACCTTTCTAATTGTACTTGATGTATGCCAGTTTAATCAAAAAGTACACTTGCAAACAGGCAGATATTTGCATTAATCTGGCACTGGATCTTCGAGTCTTTTTTGATCGTCTTTTATTCGAAAGTTGACTAGTTGGGGGAGGTCTATTACAGCTACATATCCTTTACACTTTTTTTTATTCAGCTCAATGGATCTGACAGGAATTTGTATTAAAATGAGGGGAAATATCTTCTGGGAATGTTCAGTGCAACAGAAAACGTGTCAGTTTTGAAGTAGTTGGCAAGGTTTCCATCATTCAGTGGTATGACAATAACTTGATTGTAGTTTGAAAGTAATAATAAGGAAAGGAAGATAGAGTACAAATCATATTATGAAGCTGACTTAACTCTTTAAGTCTGCTTCTTACCATCATTTTCATCGTTATCTTAATTACTTTTTTTTAACTTGTTTTTTTCCCCTGTGCTTTTGCACATTCTCAAATACCACATTAAATCTTAAGTGAATGTTGGTTCATTGGATGGGATTCCTGTTTGCACTTGTAAGCACAGCAGTGAAAACTTAGTCTCAAAATACTTTTTAAAAAAATATTTTCAGGTTCCTCTGTGCTGTGCTTTGCCCCTTTGTCAAAATTTGACTTGATTTGACTATCTTTTCTTCCTCCACTGATACTCTTGAGTGCTCTGTGTTGTAGCTTTTAAACATTTTCTTGGAATTACTGTGATGACAGTTTCTGCAGAGCTTGGCAAATTAAGACCAGTGTTGGTTCCTCTCTTCACGGTTCTCTAAGGAGCTGTTCTGCATGATTCTCTTCCTAGCACTGTAGTCACTTCTCTGCTCCTTCTCCTTCAGAGGAGTCTCCTTTTTTTTTTTTTTTTTTTTTTTTTTTTTAGAGATGGAAGGAATTGAGTAATAATATACACAGAATAATTGCATCTTACTTTAAGAAGCCATTCTCCCAAAAGATGGCTCTGTCATGCTTCCACCACATTGCTTATGTATTCCCCTTTTTCTCTCTCCTTCACCTGCCTGGACTTTTCAGGCTGTAAACTCTTCAGGGCAGGATCCTGGCACAGTGCATCTCTGTGCTTGGTTGGTCCATGTAATAACGATGATTAACTGTGATGCTAGTGTAGTTAGGGTGGAATTCATCTTGCTTATCTTGAGACAACTGAGCTAGTTACCCTCAGCTCCTTTTATGGTCGATGACTTATTTTAGGATCAGCTAAATCACCTTTTGGTGATACTTGTCTTCCCGTGGACTGTAAAATAAGCCTAAAGTAACGTGCACTGACACCTTATCCCTCTAGTAGCTGAATATGTGGAACTAAAAATAAGTCGTTTGTCATTCATATTTTGATTATGGATTGGAGACAAATGCAGGGTTAACCTATGTGCTGCATGGTCAGTACCTTGATTATTAACACAGTTTTAATGCTTGCATTATAAATCAAAGGGCTTAGGTACCAAACACTCTGGGAGAGGGAGTGGATATGTATGATTGTGAACATACAGCATCTTCCTCAGTGGAACGTGAGCTTGTGATGTGGTGACATGTTTAATACAAATTGCGGTGATGAAAAGCTGGAAAGAATCCTTTTTAAAAGTGACATAAAGTGCTGACGCTGCAACTCAAACAGAGGTGACCAGGATAGTGCAGTGTTTCTGAGGTCTGAGCCGGGCTTTGCACCAGTCATTTCCCACCTCTGCTAGCCAGACGTAGTGTGTACCAGGACATGGTCTCAGCAGACAGACACAGCTCTATCTTCTCAATTATTTCCAGTCGATGATTTGCCTACTTACAAAAGAAATCCTTGCCTCTCTGTCACTTAAGGACATTAACCAGCACTTTATACTATTCGATTTGCCCCATTTCCAGTTTTTAATGTACTTTTTTTTTTCCTTCCTGATACTCTAATTCTCTGCCTCAATAAAGACCTCCAGCTTTTGTTTTTACTGCCATGAATAGCATTAGTATCAGCAACAAATGTTGTCTCATTATTTGTCCTTTCTCTAGGCCACTTAGAAATACATTAAAGAGTTCAGACCCTAACAGATTTCTGTGAGGCTCCACTGGTGACCTCCCTGGCCACTTTATAGCAGACCAATTTTAATGTTTTCTCTTTATATCCTGCCTTTTAACCAGTTATCTATCCATTAATGGATTTTCCTCTTAGTTTATGGCAACTTTGGTGATAGATTTGCTGGAAAGCTTTTGGAACTCCAGATAGACTATATAAACTTTATTTTCCTTTTTCGGATGCATAATAATTCTACAAATCTAGCAGAGGTCCCCAGTGAATTAAGACGTAAT